GAAGATTAACAAATCAATCTCGTTGTTGTAATTATATTATTGGAATGGTATCCAATTTTTGGATTGTTTAATAATGGCTTAAAAGTTGTTAGCTATTTTAGAGTAATTTATTAAAATATGTAATATAAATGACTTATGTTATATTTTTATATATTAACAATAAGATGATTATGATTTAAAATGATTTAAAATAAATTTTTTTTATCACCATTATCATACTCGTTTAGACTCTTTCTTATTTAATTTGTTTGAAGGGGGTTTAAAAGAGAGAACTACCACAAATTTTTGTTATAATGAGAATGATTTAAATTAAAAAAAGTTATGGTAGTAAAAAGGAATAAATGATACATAAAAAAGTTGGATTTTAATAAAAATTCATAAACAACAAAAAAAATAATAAAAACAAAACTAATAAACTTTTTAAAATAAAAGAGAATTAAAAGAATAAGAAATAATAATTATTTATGAAAATGGATTTAAAAAGAATTTTTAAGTAAAAAACAAGTGATAATAAACTATAAACTTATTCAATTTTTTTTAGAGAAAATAAAAATTATGAATTAATTAATTTAAAGAAAGAAAAAAAAAAAAAAAAGAAAATTTGATAAAAAAGATAAAAGAGCCAAATCAAAAATGGAACGAGAAGAAAAATTAAAAAAGGAAATCAAAAAGAGACTTTCTAAAACAACATATAAAATTCAAGGATATTGGGATGAATTAGAAATGGCTAAAGTAATAAGTGTGTTAGAAACTGTTGATTCACCTTTTTTAATTAATTATCGTAATTTTGTATATTCTCTAGATTCAGAACCATCAAGTCAAGATAAAATACCATTTTTAAAGAAAAAAGTAATGAGAAAAGGAGAGTTAACATTTGAATCAGACCCAATGCCATATACTCTAATGGATTTAATTAATGATGAAAAAAACAAAAAGTTAAGTGTAGATAAAGCAATGACAATTATTGCTCAAATATGGCTTGCTTTAAATTCATTACGAAATATTTCTAATTATATTCATGTCTTCTCTTTACATCCATCAAATATTATTTTAACAGTTATTCCAGAAAGCAATCCACCTATGTTTCAAGTTCAACTTACTCAATACATTCCATTTATCTTTAAATCAATTCTTACTCTTGAAGAAAAAGAATATATTTCTCCTCAACAATTATATTATATTGAAAAAGAAACATCAAAAATAGATTCTCATTGTGAAATGTATACATTTGCTGCTTTAATTTGTAAAATATTTACAAATAAACTTCCTTATAACCCTTCATTAAATATTCAACAATTAATGATGTCTTATAGAAATATTAATAAAGTTATTCAAATACCACAAATAAATGAATACCCTGAAGTTAAAACGTTAGTAGAACATTTACTATTAAAAAATTCTAATTGGGGATATACATATACTGATCCTTTTCTTATTCAAGCAAGAAAATGTACATTTAATGAATTAAGAAGTAAAGCAGAAGACTATAGTTTAATTGATGAAATTGGTTCAGGAGCCTCTGCTTTTGTTTATCAAGCAATTCAAAAAACAAGAAGAGGAGAAAGAGTTGTGGCATTAAAAGAATTAAAAGTTGATAAAGAAATGTTAGAATTTATTCAAAATGAAGTTGAAATTATGAAATTATGTAAACACCCCAATATAGTCGAGTTATATGATAATTTTATTAATGATAAGAGTAGTCTTTTTAATAGGAATGATAAAGGTAAATTTGCTGAAATTGTAATGGAATTTTGTGATGGAGGAACGTTAAAATCTTTTAAAGAAAATGAATATCCTTTTGATCCATTTCCAGAGAATATGATATCACATACATTAGTTGGAATATTAAAGGGTTTATGCTATCTTCATAAGGAACATAACATTATTCATCGTGATTTAAAACCAGAAAATGTTTTATTAAAAGTTGATCCAAATAATAGACATTTACCACTTGTTAAAATAGCAGATTTTGGTCTTTCTAGAGTTCTTGATAAACAAGAAATGACAACGAGTTATGTTGGAACACCTGTTTTTATGGCACCTGAAGTCTATTTAAGACAATCATATAATTATAAATGTGATATTTGGTCATTAGGAGCAATGTATTATTATTTAAGAACGGGGATGTTTCCTCTTGGTGATTCAAGATCACGTTTTGAAAATAATTTAAAGAAGAAAAGTCCTCCTTCTTATCAAGAAGTTTTTTGGGGAACAATTCCTCATATCAAAGATTTTATTTCTCATTTAATAGTATTTGATACAACTAAAAGATATGGCTGGTCTGCAATTCACAAACACCCTTATATTAAGACATTATTTGGAGAAGGGAACCAATTTTATTAATTTTGTTTTAGTTGTTTTAATTTTAATGTTGTAATTTTTTATAATGTTCTTTCTTAACTTATCAGAATTTCTTTGTTTGTTTTTCTTCTCAAAAAAGATGTTTTTATTCTCTTTTTCGAAATTAGTTCGATTCATTACTATTAATTTTTGTCACTCAAACAATCTTTAGTTCAAGAACTTGAAAGCCACTACCTTTATTCAATGAACATTATTCCATTTCAATGGTACTATATTTTTTTATTTTTGAGTATTGAAGTAGTAGGAGAATATTGTGATTGGAATAAAAATGTATTTGAAGAGTGTAATGCTTGTATTCCATGTCAATTTAATTATAACAAAACTGGTGTTTTTATTATCCGTAATCGTGAAACCGAAACAATGAAATTTATTCAACCTCATGACACTTATTTCCTTTTCAAAAATGTTTCTTTAAAAACTTTGGTAATTCAAAACCAAACTCAATCAACTTTCGATTTAAAAGAATTAAAAACTTCGCTCATTGTTCTTATTAATGATACAACAATTAATAGAGACTTCTCAGTTGATAAGATTCTTTCTTTTCAATTCAATTTCTGTTCTCCACAAATTGAAATTCAGAAACAAAACCCTATTTATACTTCTTTAAAAATTTCTAAGTTTACTTCTGATTATTTCACTTCTACTTGTTCTGCATCAAACCTTCTTCGAATTAATGAATTTATTTCTGTATATATTGGTAAGCTTTATAGTTCTTTTGGCTACTTATATTCAACACCAATTATCAATAATCCTATTTTTAATTCTACTCAATATAAATTTACATTAATTAAACAAGACGATTTATTTCATTACTACTTCTATGACCCTTCAGTCATAACCATTCTGAAACAAGAAGTTGTTAATTCGATATTATTTACTAGTTTATTACTTAATCAAAATAATATTGATTTGTATTTATTTATTTCTTCATTAAAAATTTATTATTCAATACCTTCTCTTTCTCTTCTTATTCATTCATACACAAACGCTCAATTTGATATAACAATAAATGAAACAATTGATTCATTAACATTTTATCATAATAATGATAACTTTACTTTTTCTTCTCTTACTCAAGGATTTCTTCACTTCTATGAAACTGATTTACAAGATGGGATTATTTATACTATCAAAACATCTTCATCATCTGGTACTCTTCATATAACTAATCTTCAATCTCATATTGTTCTTGAAAATTTGGAAGAATCATTTCATTTTCAATTAAATTCTTTTCAATATATTTTAAATGCTCAAAATGGTTGTCAGTCATCAATTATTTCTTCTAATTTGTTTCAATGTTTATCTGATATGAAATGTCCTAAACGACAGTTTTTTGATGAAAAGAAAAATATATGTCAAAATTGTTCTAATTATTGTAGCAATTGTATTAATTCAACATATTGCATTTATTGTGATGATGGGTATATCAACAGAAATGGTAAGTGTTATGATACAAATGATATTTGCTCATCTAATTCTGAATCAAGTTGTTATTTCTGTGATCCAAAGAATTCATATTTCATCGAATCATGTAGAGATTGTTCTTCTCATTGTAAACTATGCCAAGAGAAAAAAGTTTGTCTTCAATGTGAAGATAATTACTATTTAAATCAAACTAGTCAATGTGTTAAAACTGATGTTCATCAAGAAATTATGGTACAAGATCATATTATATCATGTATGTCTGGTTATTATTTAAAAAATAATCAATGTATTTCCTGTTCAGAATCTTATGGTTTAGGTTGTCAAATATGTGATTCATATCAATGTATTTCTTGTTCACCTACAACTGTATTTCTAAAAGGGTCTTGCATCATTCCAGAACATTGTAATAAAATTACTAATGGAGTTTGTGTAAATTGTGAAGGATTATATTATAGTAACTTTACTTCTTGTATAGATTTTTATAATTCAAGTAGTGTAACAAATCATTGTTTATTAATGCATTCAGGCCAATGTATTGTTTGTAATAAAAATTATTTCAGACTACCTAATGGGACTTGTTCAGAATACCAAACTGATCATTGTGTTGAACCAAGTGAACTTGGGTGTTTTAGATGTGAAGATGGCTTTTTTCTTGATTTAAAAGGATATTGTGTACCATGTATAGATAATTGTAGATATTGTGCAAATTCAACGCATTGTCTTCAATGTAAACCTCATCATTCTCTTACAAATTCACTTGAATGTCTTAATGCGTCTCAATTAAATGATAATTGTGAATTAATTACAAGTTTTGGAAATGGGTGTGTTGTTTGTAAAAAAGGATATTATCGGTATGGTCTTGATTGTACTCAATGTAATAGTTCATGTTTGTCATGTCAAAACTTGGATTCATGCCTTGAATGTAAGGATGGTTATTTAATGAATAAAGATGCAAAATGTATTGCCTTAAATGAAACTATTGGTTGTATTAATACTACCTCAGAACATATTGGATGTGATAAATGTGCTGAAGGATATTATTTAGAACAATATGAATGTGTTGTATGTCCATTTAATTGTAAAGAATGTTATAAAGATAAATGTATATTATGTTTTGGCAATGATATTGTTATTTCAGGAATATGTTATCCAATGACAACAGTTAGTCATTGTATATCAGTTAATAATTCACAATGTAATCAATGTGGTATTGGTTATATTGTAAATTATAATGGAACACGATGTGTATTAAAAATACAAATATGGGTTCATATTTTTTTCTTAGTAGCTATAGTCGTTACAATTATTTTTATTCTTATGATTATTTTTTATTTATTAAGAAGAGTATATTTTCCTGAAGAACAACAAAAATTTGCATGGAATGAATTTATATTTGATATAAGAAAGAAAAAATATAAATTCATAGAAAATTCAGAAGGTTTACTCATTAATACTCAAAAATTAATTTTTGATAGTTTTAGAGAAGGAATTCCTGTTAATGTTTCATCAGAGAAAACATTTATAATAGCAAATATAAGGAAAAATCCATTAAAAATTGATTTTATATTAAATCAAAAACCTCAACGATATAAATTAACAGTAAATCCAATTACTATAATATTAAAAAAGAATGAAGGATGTATTTTTACATTTAAAGTTAAACCAATGTGTTCTTGTACAATAAATGATCAATTTACTATATTGTATGAAGATATTAGAACAAATAAGATATTTAAAAAAAATATTAGTGTTGAAGCACAAACAATTTTATCAACATTAATTGATTATGAAGAAATTACTCTTATAAATGAAATAGCACAAGGTTCATTTAGTATTGTATTTAAAGGAAAATTTAGGGGAAATATTGTTGCTATAAAAAGAATGAAAGACTTATGGAGAAAAGATGATTTTGAAGAGTTTAGAAAAGAAATTGATTTATTAAGTAAATTCAAATGTAGTTATATTATTCAATTTTTAGGTGCTGTAATAAATAAAAATAATATTAGTATTATTACCGAATATGCTCCTTATGGAAGTTGTGAACAAGTAATGATTAAATCAAATGAAAATCCTAATTTAATTCCAAACATTCAGCTTAGAATAAAAATAATTAAAGACATTTCAAAAGCAATTCAATATCTTCATTCTAATGGAATATTACATCGTGATATCAAATTAGCAAATGTATTAATTATTTCTTTAGAAGATGAAATGGAAATTAATGCTAAACTTAGTGATTTTGGGTCATCTAGAAGTCTTAATTTTTTAGTAAATAATATTACTTTTACTAAAGGAATAGGAAGTCCAATTTATATGGCTCCTGAAATATTACAAAGAAAAAATTATACAACTTCTGCTGATATTTATTCTCTTGCAATTTCTTTATTTGAAATTATTGAATGGAAAGAAGCTTATCCAGCAGATGATCCTAAATTTAAGTATCAATGGCAAATTGCTGAATATGTTTGTAAAGGGAATAGACCTCAAACAATAGGAATTTCATTCAAAACTAAATCGTTATTGGATTTAATGTGGTGCCAAAAACCAGAAAATAGAATATCTATTGATGTTGTTTTAAAGCATCTTCAATTAATGTGAATATTTAATTTATTGTTTATTATATTAATTATTATTAATTTCTTTTTTTTTTTTGTTATTCTTTTTAAAAAATTTTAATTATTTTGTTCATTTTTTGAATATATAATTTGAATAATCAAAAGTTCAAAAAAAAGAATTATATCATTACAATTCACCATTCAATGAAAATTACCATAAAACTTTTCTAATTATTTTCTGTGATAATCTTTAGTTCAGAAGGTATTAGAAACTATTTCTTTGAATTTAAAAAAATAAACTTTTAAAAATAATATTCAATGGAGTTTAAAAGAGCTGATACATACACAGCTAATAAAGAAAGTCCTTATTATAGACCATTACTTCCAGAAGCAGCATTTGACCCAATATTTCAGAAAGAAATTCAGTATGCCGTTGGATTTTTATGTCAAATGGATCCATCTCATGCTGAATTATACAAAACAATTCCAAGTGAATATATGAAATATCTTCAAGACCCAAAATTTAAAGATAATTTTAGAGAATTTTTTGCTGGATGTTTTGATCCAGAGTCTGAATTATTTAAAATGGTATTCAAAAATAATGTTGTTAAACTTGCTTCATATATGAGATTTTTAAAAGAAAGAGATATGGACAAAGAAGAACTTGCTAAAATTCAAATTAAAAACCCATTATATATTGTTGCTATGCCAAGAAGTGGATCTACGTTTACTCATTCTTTATTCTCTGCTGATCCAAGAGGCCAAAAAGTTGCTATGTATGAACACCTTAATCCAGGATCAAAAACAATGACAGAAGAGGCAAGAATTAAAATTGCTGAAATGATTTGTGGTAGTATTACTCAAGATTCTCAAAGAAACTTTAATACTGTTCATGCCCTTAATGACGTAAGGAGACCAGAAGAAGAAATGTTCTTCACAGAAATGCTTGGATTAACTCTTGTATTTGCTCAAGCACTTCCAAGGCTTGAACAATATAGAGAAAGTGTAATCATGAGAGACTATGATTGGGTTTATGATGATATTATTGATGAAATGAAAATGCATGCAATTCAATTTCCATTTAAAAGTGATAAAGAATTCTTTTGTATGAAATGTGCAACTCATTTTATGACTCCTGCTCCATTCTTAACTCAAATGTGTAAAGATGAATACAATCCTAGAATTATATGGCTTCATCGTGAACCTATTGGAAATATAAAATCAGCTATTTTATTATACTGGAATGTTCGTGCACGTTATGAACATGATATTGGGCTTGACGATATAAAATGGTTAAATGAAACAGTCATTCGATTCAATGAAATTATGTTAAAGAATGCTATTGCTGCAAGAGAACAATGGATTGCACAAAACCCAGAACGTGCAAAATATATTTATGATGTTGGATTTTCAGAAATTATAGCTCATCCAAAAGAAACTGTTCAAAAAATTTATGAATATTTTGGTATGGAATATACTAATGAATTTGATAGTGCATTAAAAGAAGTTATTGAAAATGGGCATCCTCAGAAACAATTTGGAAGAAGACAACATGAAGAAAATATGTATACATTTAATCCTGAAGAAGTAAGAGAAAGATTTAAATTCCATTATGAAAAGTTTAGTCAATATTTACCAGATTTTTGGGGAAAGAAAGATATAAATTAATTTCCTAAAAAAAACTATTATTATTATTTTTTTTTTTGGTTTTAAAAAATAAAATAATAATAACAAAAAAATAAGTAAAAAAATTTTTATTAATGTTAAAAAAAAAATTAAAGAAAAATGATATACAAACACTCCATTTATTCAGGAAAGGGTACAGGTTTTTCTAATAATCTATTAAAATCATTCTCTTCATTTAATATTTTACTCGCTCGTGTTAGTTCCATTTTTAAAGCTTTTAATCCATCCATTGAAACACCTTTAGTACAATTTTCAAAAGATGTTGGATCTAATACAGTCATCACAGCAGGAATAATGAATAACTCATCAGGTGGTCCAAAATATTTTATTGTTATTGGTTCATTCCAATCATAATTTTTAAAATAATTGAAAAAACCTTTTATCAAACTAGCAGGTGTGTGTTGAATAATAATTTGTGTTGGTATTTTTGATCCTAATATTCTTAACCGAAGCCATCTATCCATTGCACATCTAAAATCTGAAGGAAATAATGGTGGTTCAAATGATGAAAAATAATGTAATACTATTTATGTTATTAATTAAATGAATAATAATAAAATAAAAGAAAAACAAACTCATAAAACAGAGTGCTGCTGATGACAAACCACCTTTAAATGGGCAATTTAAGTTTCTAGTTTTTAACCAATATTTTAATAATACAGCAACAATTCTAAAATGTTTATTACAATGAATCATTGTAGAAAAAAATTCAGAGTGTATTTGAGCAACTGGTTGGTTAAATGATAAGTCAATACTAACTTTAGTTCCTAAGTCAATCATTTTAATAATTGGAACTTTTGCTTTTTCAATAACATTTTTAATTTCAAAATTATCTATTTTATTATTATTCTTCTTTTTTTATTTCCTCCCTTACACTATTTCTTTCTTTTATTTTTTAATAATCAAAACAAACTTCTTTTGAAACACTCAGCAAAAGATTCTAATACAATTGCATTCACTTGTCTTCCTGATTGACTTGTACAACATATATCTAAATCACCATCTTTTAAGCATAGTCCATAATCTGTAGATCCATAGACTTGTGCTCTGAAATGAAAATCAACATAATTCTGGTTAAGTACTTGTTCAACTCGTTGCATTACTTCATACCTCATATCAACAAGTTCATCAGGTAGTCTATGGAAAATGAATATCTAAATTTAAATAAATAATAGTATTAAAAAGTCCTCTTTCTTTTATGAACATTTATTTTAATTTCTTTTAGAAAAAAGTTCTTTTTTGTTTTCAGTAATAACAAACATGACACTCTCAAATATTTTTTCTAATTGGTCATTAAGTATGTCTTCAGGTGAATTTCTGTGTAAGTTATTCTTTCTGTTGTTTTTTTAATTTTATTAAATATTAAATGTCAAACAAACACTTGTTTTCTCCTTTTGTTGTATGGTTTATCTCTCTTCATTCTTCTATCACTCATTCCTCTCATACGTCGTCCATCGTTTGAAAGCGACATATCTGATTTATTAAATCAGTTCATTCTATTTTCAAAAACCCATCTCACACCCTTTTATGGTATTTCTCCGGGAAATTCCATTGGAAAAAGGAATGAATAAAAGACTTCATTCTAAACTATAAAAAATGATTATTATAACTAGATTTTATAATTTAATCAAGCAAAAAGGGTTTGGATTTAAATATTCAAAAATAGAAGTAAATTTCAGAGAATTTACAATTGTTTTTAATTCTTCAACTCCTTCTTTTATTTTTCATTGTTTACTATTTCTTATTCATTTCAATTAAATTTTTTTATTTCTATTCAAATTTCAATAATAATATCATCTATGATATTTACATTAATTAAACCAAAATATTAATTTTACTATTGGACCACATAGTAAACTCAATTATTTCTTTGATTGAATCTTCTTCTTTGGTCTAAGATCACCTGAATGTCCACATTTCTTTTTTCTGCAAGTAGTAGCTCTAAGAGGAAGTCTAGCATAGCATCTTCTACAAATCATTTTATCACAATTATATTTTCTAGCAATAGCTTCCAATGCTGGTTCAATACCCATTGGTTGTGGTCTGAAAATTTTTTAAGTTCTTTTTAGAGTTTTTATACTTTTTTGAAATTTTCTTTCAGTAAATCAAAAACAAATTACTTTTACTCTCTTTAATGAATGACTCAATACTAATTTTCTTCTTCTTGTTTTTCTATAAATTCACATTTTACTTGACATTCTTTTCCTTCTAAAAAACATATGTATGTTGGTTTTTTATTATACACCTCACTTACAATTTTATCAACTACTTTTTTAGCAATTTCTAATGGAATATTTTCAGGTAATGGAATAACCAATTCAAGATTTGTGGTAAGTTGATCCATTTAATACAAAATGATTGTATTTTTTATTTTTTAATTTTATTAAAATTGTTATTTATTTATGTTATAAAATAAATAGGCAAATGATTTATTTTTTCAAATTTCTTGCCTGTTAACTTACAAAGTTCTAAAGTTCATGCATTATATTTTGTTCCTTAATTTTATTATTTTTATAAGTGCTACTCCTTTATGTAAAGAAGGGTATTACTTTTTAAATGGAACTTGCGTTGAATGTGACAAGTATTGTTTAGATGGTAAATGTATTGATGGAATTGGATGTCAAGAGTGTCAACCAAAATATTATTTTAATGAAACAAATAGATGTAACCCTTGTGTATTAAATTGTGAAAAATGTACAGGAGATACATTAGAAACATGTACTAAATGTAAAGATGGTTATTATAAAAGTAATATTTCTCAAATATGTCTTTTACCTTATGGCTGTATTGATTATGAAGATTTTATAGGATGTAAATCATGTAAAGAACATTATCAATTAAATAATAGTATGTGTATTTATAGTTTGTTAAATAAAATACTTACATAATTTAAATAATAAAATTTATTTTTTTAGAATGTGATGGATGTTCTGATGGTTATTGTACAACAATTGGTTGTGAAAAATGTTCTAATTGGTTTAAAAAAAGTGATAACTTTGGAGATTGTACAAAACTAGCAGTTGGTAAAATTGTTTTTGTTATTATTATTATTTTGATAATAATTCTTGTTTTAGTAGGAATTATTTCTGGAATACTCTTCTTTATTAAAAGACAAAAAAGACATCAACAATATGAAGACGCATATCATAACGTTAATTAATTAAACAATTATTAAGTAAATAATTTAGTTATATTCTTTTTTTATTTAATAAAAATTAAAAACAAATAATAAAATTTGTAAATGAAAGTGGTTTAAATTAGTTAGTTATCCCATGGGAATTTAGTGTCGAGTTTACAATCAGCTCTTAATTTCTCCATCTCTGATCTTGTAACTTCAGGAATGAAAACACCTTTCTTACTTCTTTCTAAGAAAGTTTCATGTTCTTTTTCACCTGGAGTATAAATTCTAGTAGCACCTGGAGCTTTAGCAGCAGCTCTAAGTTCACGAGCAATATCACCAACTTGTTTCTCAAAATCAGCTAATGGTCTAAATGATTCAATATTAATAGCCATAAAGAATTGTCCAAGTTCAATTGGAACTTTCTTTCCATCCCTTAATCCACCACACTGAGAAAGGAAATTAGCTCCAGACAATGCTGAGGATAATATTTCTACATCACAAGCATAACCATATCCTTTATGACCTCCCATCTCTTCACCATAACCTCCAAGTGGATAACAAGCAGCAGTTCCTTTTTGGAAAGCTTCTAACATAGGTCCTGGTTCAGAAAGAACTTTACCACTTCTATCACAAACCCATCCTGGTTGGCATTTCTTTCCTTCTCTAGCATACATTTCAATTTTTCCTCTTTGAACAATAGAAGTTGCACAATCAAGGCAGAATGGGAATCCTTCATCACTTGGGAAAGCAAAAACAAGTGGATTAGTTCCAAGTTTTGGTTCTACAGACCAACATGGACAAACTGATGGTCTAGCATTACATCCTGAAAATCCAATACATCCTTGTTGAGCAGCCATTTGTGGATAATAACCAGCAATACCATAATGAGTACCATTTCTAACAACTACCATACCCATTCCATGTTTTTTAGCTTTATCAATAGCTAATTGCATAGCTTGCATAGCAATAGAATGTCCCATACCATTGTGTCCATCAACTACAGCTGTAGTTTCCGTTTCTTTAACAATATCAAAAACAGTTTTAGTATTTAATTGTCCACAATCAATTCTATCACAATAAATAGTCTTTAATCTTTGAATACCATGAGTATCCATTCCTTGTTTATCAGCTTGAATAAGAACTTTAGCACATCTTGCTGCATCTGGTTCTTCAACTCCTTTAGCCATTAACACATCTTTTATAAACTTTTCTAATTCATCAAAATGAATTCTATACTTTGAGTCGTCAGTCATTTTATCTTCTTTTTATTGAATATCTTTTATAAATCTTTGTTTTAAATAGTTTATGCCACGTATTGTAAGACTAATCTTTTAATAGTTTTTTTCTCTTTTATTTTTTTTTTCAACTATTTGTCAATTGATTTTCAATCTAATTGATGACGTTAATTGAATAAAATATGAATTCAAAATTTATTTTCAAAGAAATTGGATTGAATGTACACTAATTCAAAAATTCTAGAACCTTCATCTTTTTTGTTAATCAATTGATTAATGAGTATTTTCATTAACACCAACTCTAGCTTCTATTTTCATTTTTTTATGATAACAAAATAAAAATAATAAAATAAATTGTGATTTAAATTGTTTTATTAATTTTATTTTGTGAAATTCATCTTCTCTCTCTTCTTTTTTTTTTATTATTTTTTCATTGATAGTATATCCCTTTCCCTTTTACTTAATGTATTTCTTATTTTGGTCTATGTAATATTGTTTTAAACAATATTCTTTAAGGTTATGGAACTTTAACTAAATAAACCATTTGTTAACAAAAAGAAATATCTCCTTATTTTAATAAAAACAAAAATAACAATTAAATAACAAAAATCCGATTTACCTCAAATGAGACAATTCCAAATTTTATAGTGTTTCTTCTTGTTAATAGTTGTGGTAAAGATATTGTGTACTCTTGAATATCATTTATTTTATTTGTATAGGTAGTGATTTTCAAATAAAGATCTGGAAGTGTTTTAATATAAATCCAATCTACTCCACATTGAATTAGAGTGAAATGAACTTTTTCTAAATTCTTTTTTAAATTTCTTAGGTAGCTTGTTTTATTTGAAAATGAGTCATAAACAATAACGCTCTGTTCAAATTGTTCTATAGAAATATCTAATTGTATAAGATGAATTAAAGACTGAGGAAGAATGTATTTAAGTTTAAGTGCATTAAACAAATGAATATTTTCATTATCCAAATCTTCTTTCATTTGGTCTCTAATGTCATGTAGGAATTCAAGACAATTCATTTAAGAGAAAGAAAAGAAATAAATAAATAATAATAGTAAAATAATAAAAAATAATAATTTTCTTTCTTTTTTGAAATTAAAAAAAAAACTAGGGTTGTGAACACTTTTAATTGCAAATGGTCGGACCAGTCACTAAGCCAAAGATTGTCAAGAAATATACTGGACACTTCAAAAGATTCGATTCAAACAGATTCCTTCGTGTTAAGGCATCATGGAGAGTCCCAAGAGGTATTGATAATAGATTAAGAAGAAAATTCAAGGGAACTAACCTTCTTCCAAAGATTGGATATGGAAGTGCTAAAGCTACTAGAAATATGCTTCCATGTGGACTTTATAAATTCCCAGTTCGTAATACAACTGATCTTGAAATGATTATGATGCAAAACAGAAAGTATGCTGCTGAAATTTCACACGCTGTTTCTGCTAAAAAGAGACAAGAAATTATTCAAAGAGCAAAAATTTTGAATATCAGAGTTCTTAATGCTGAAGCTAGAATTAAGAAACAAGAAGTTGCCCAATAAATTGATGGTTTTTGACGATAAATTTAATTTACTTTTTAATTAATAAAAAAATTGAATTAAAAATATAAAAGTTAAAAGAAATCAATTTCTTGGTTGGATTTGTAATGAAATATCATATTGAGCTTTTTCATCATCATTTTTATGTTGTTCTATTGATAGTATGAAATCTTTGAAAAATGGTAATGCTTTATAAATTGAGTGTTGATCATTTTGTAATGGTCTAATAGTTAATAATTGATTAGCCATCATTCTACATTTCTCAAAATTAACATCTCCACTTTCAGTCTTATCAGGATTACCTTCATCAATAAAAGTTAAATCTTGAATAATAACTCCAATAAATGGAATATACCCTTTACTTTTATTTTGTTGAATATATTTTCTATATGAAGCATAACTTCTTGTTGGATCTGCTGCTTTTCTTAATGGTTCCATTCTTTGAGAAGCATTTTCAACTAACTCCCATGTTTTTGTTAATCGGCTAATTGCACTAGAATTTAACCCAGAATAGAATTCAAAAAATCCGGTAAAATTCATTTGTTCATACATTATTTTTGCAACATCAATGAATTTACTTATTAAATTAGCTCTTGCATTAATATCACTTTCTTGAAGAATTGAATATGATACCCAATTAGTTACAGCATTAAAATGTTCTAAAAATTCACAAAGTCGTGGACATCTTTCATATTTATCTTTCTTTGTCCATGCACTTCCTAAAAAGTCTTTCATTTCTATTCCAGTAAATAATGTTAATTCATATAAACTTAATTGACCAACAATTGTTTCAGCACTTAATTCTTTAAGTGGCTTTGTTTTTTCTTCTCCATTAGAATTTTCAATTCTTTCAAATGTAGGTAAATGAGGGATAGATTGAGCAGCTTGAATCATTTTTCTAATTTGTGCAATTCCAACAAATTGTGATTGATATTTTTGTAAGAAAGTTTCAATAGCTCCAAGTATTTCTTTATCATGGAAATCATAAGGTAATAAGTCAGTCCATATCTTCATAAAAATTGTGATTTTAGCCCATTTCTGTTTTATTGTTTTAACTGGTTCATTTTTAGATTCAACAATATCATTACAAATTTTATCAATAATTGATAATAATTGAATTGGTTTACAATATGTATGATAATTTAAAATAAACATATTTGCAAAATTACTTTCTAAATTTTCTGGTGTAACAGCCCAATTAATAAGTACTTCTAATGGTCCTGAAACTGTTAATTTATTTTCAATTTTTAATCCTTGTTCTTTAAACTTTTCACCAATAGTATCTGTTATTTTAATATAGACTTGTCTAAATTGTGATGGACATACCATAAGTGTAATTTGTTCTGCACTCATACCATCAAATGTACGTTCTTTTTCTTCTCTTTTAATAGTAGGTTCTATTGTAGGTGTAGAAATAACTGTTCGTGGAAGATTTCTGTTAGATGAATAAAATAATCGTGGTGGAAGAGAAGATGACATTAATTATTGAACTAATTTTTATTTGATCTTTTTTTATTAAATCCATTATTTTTATTTTTTTTTAAATTTAACTTCCATTTTAAATTAATGAAGATTCTGTTACATATAAATATATTTTTTTATTGAGGATGTTAAACAAGTTCTAACAAAATAAATAGGAAAAGTGAAAGTCGTAAGAAACTGATGAGTATTTTATTCTTAAATTATTATTAATTTTTTATTAGTGTAAAAGTAATAATGGAATTTACTATTGTTTTAATCCTTATTGAAAAACTAAATTTCTCACTTATTTTCCATTGACACCCAATTAATTTCTTTCATTGTTATTAATGAATTATTATAATTACAAAGTAATAAATGTTTTTTTACGTTATGCAATAATCTGCATAGCCCAATTAATTCATTATTTATTAAAGACTGATGAATATTCATTAGTAATACTCCATAGTATGAATGACAACACTGTGGATGTTTTTTATAAACAACAAAATCACATCCATATTTAAATCCATCTTTAATAAAGAAACCTTTCTTTTTTAATTCACAATATAAATGATATTTCATTTTTTCATTTTCATTTAATAGTATATTTCGACGATCTTCTTTAAGAATTTCGTTTAATTCATTAAGATAGACATACTCAATCTTAGTAATGATACTTATAGATTCGTTTTTGTTTATCCCTTTTTGTTTAAATAAAGACTTACCAATGCCATGTTTCTGGTATATATAAACAGGATTATGGATAGTAATAAATTCATCACCACTACTCATTTCTTGTTTCTAATTGGAAGAACTTTCCAATAAAATATATTTTTCAATGAGAATCTGGAAAAATTAGAGAAAAATTAAGTTCTATTCTTCAAAGTTCTTGGTTGGTAAAGATTTTATAAAAAAAAAAGAAAACAATCAGGTCAAATGAATATAACAAAGAACTAATTTAAATAAGAATAAACAAAATTAGAATAATGCAGTTCGAGAATCGAATGGAATAGGATTCTAATAAATATATTATGTTCTATATTATTCCAGTTGATATAAAACCAAGAGAAACTTTAAAATAAATAGAAATAACAACATGGACGCTAAATCACTCTTTAAATATGAACATTCTATGGAAATGTATAACCAACTTTGTAATATTTGTAAAGATGAAGGATCAAAAGTATATTGGAAATGGTTCCTTGCATTAGATGAAATCCCAAGAAGATCAGGAGCAAGAGAAGCACCATCTAATTGGTTAATTGAAGTTGCAAAGAAATCAGGATTAGAATATAAAGTAGATAAAGAAAGAAATATTTGTATTTATGTTCCAGCATCTAAAGGATTTGAAGATAAACCATCAGTTTGTATTCAAGGACATTATGATATGGTAGGAACTGTTGCAGCAGGAGTACAACATGATTTTACTAAAGATCCAATTAAAATGAAACTTGAAGATGGTATTTTATCAGCACAAGGAACTACTCTTGGAGGAGATGATGGAACTGGAGTTGCATGTGGACTTGCATATATGGAACTTAGAGATAAATTCCAACATCCAGCATTAGAACTTCTTTTTACATCAGATGAAGAAATTGGATGTCTTGGAGCATCAGGACTTGTTCCAGGAGAATTATTAACAGAAAAATGTAAATATCTTATTAATGTTGATTCAGAAGATTGGGGAGAAGTTACAATTTCATCAGCAGGAACAGCATTTAGAGTTGGAAAAGTTCCAGTTAAATTTGAAAATGCTAAAAGTGGATTAACATCAATTAATATTGTTATTGAAAAGTTTAATGGAGGACATAGTGGAGTTGATATTCAATATCAAAGAGCTAATGCACTTAAATGGGTTGTTGATCTTATTATTCATAGTCGTTCTCTTTTAAGAGTTAATAAACATCAATATCATATTGTTAAATTTGAAGCTGGACATGCTCATAATGCTATTCCATCTCATGCTAATGTTACTATTGCAGTTCCAAATGAAATTGCAGAAGTTGTTATGAATGAAATTAAAGCTAATCATGAAGCACTTATTACTCTTTATAATGGAACTAGTGATGTTAAACCAACAATTAATGTTTCATCAACACCACTTGCTGAAGGAACACAAATTGTTTCATATACTTCAACATGTAATTGTCTTCAATTAGTTGAAAAACTTCCACATGGAGTTCTTAGATTCTCAGAAGATGTAGAAGGATTAGTTGAAACGTCACAATCAGTTTCTATTGGTAAACTTGAAGGAAATACATTTAATATTACTATTTTTGCACGTTCAAGTAAAGATGAAGATATGCTTACTCTTGTAGAAGCAGATTATAAAATGTTTAAATGTCATGGAGCAACATTTGAAAAAGCAGTTGATGATGCATGTGGATGGCCAGCTGAACCAAATAATCATTTACTTAAAACTCTTAAAGAATGTTATAAAGAAATGTATAAATCAGAAATTAAAACTGTTGCTATTCATGCTGGTCTTGAAAATTCTATTATTATGGAAAAATATAAAAATTTGAACCTTCATTCTATTTCTCTTGGTCCATCAGTTCATGATGTTCATACTCCAAAAGAACATGTTCATGTTGAAACTGCTACTCAACTTTATGCACTTCTTATTTCTGTTATGGAGAAACTTTAAACAAAAAAAATCAATATAATTGATTTTATTCATTACTATATTTTTTCTTCTTCTTTGTTTTTTTTTAATCTTTTCTACTTTTTTTAATAGAATTTTGTGCACTATAATGATATGGTATTAAATGACTTTCTTTAACTGTTTTTTCAAAATCTTCATCTTTTGTTCCTGATAACTCTTTCCATTTCCCAACAATCTCTCTATCTAAATTTGGTAAATCATGTAATAATCGTTTCTTAGGATCACTAAAAAAATATATTTCTTTTGATCTTCCTCCTTCTTCTACAACAACTATATCATATTTTTCTGGATGTTCAACCATTGATGCTAAATCTTTTTCTACATCTGGATATGCATCATCTAATGTTGATCTTGGTACTGATTTGAATTTAGAATCATGTATAATATTAATTAACTCTTCTATATTTGTTGCATTGGTTTTTGGTTTATACTTAAATGTTTTTCTGGTTGGGTTATATTCCACTGAACTTGACATTGTTGAAAGTCTTTGGAATAATTCAGTCCCTTCAGAAACATCATATCCTAATTCATTTAATATTTGTTTTATATCATATTCTTTTCTATTCTTCTTTAAATGTTCAACAATTGCACTTTGTTGTGTTCTAACATCCATTCCATAGTTCATTTTGTTTATCTTTTTTTTAGTTCTTATTATTGTTAAATTTTCAAAGTACAAATCAAAAAAGAAAATGTTAATTTAATCAAAATATATTTAAAAAATATTTCAAAAAGAATGAAACATTAATCTCAAATAAAAAAGACCTCATATCAAGAAATCTAAGTGATAATAGAAAATTAAATGAGGGTCACTGTTATTTGCATAAACAGAGAGATGTTAAATATTATTAAAAAGTTTTTACTGTAATAACTATTGTCATAAGTCTTTTAACATTAATAAACATAATTCATATCATCATAATAAAAAATAATATATTAATGATATAATTTAAAGTTTAGAGTAACACAAAATAAATAAAAGAAATGATAAAAACACAAAACTAAGAATGAAAAAAATATTTGAAGAAAATTTAAAATAAATACTTAAATACAAATTGATAAGACTAAAGAATATAATCAATAATAGTAGAAAACAATACTTCCTTTTAAAAAGATATAAAATATCCAGAATAAAAGAAGGGAAATGGTAGAGTGTTGAAGAAGGTGATAAACAATTAAACAAAGTTTCTTTTTGTGTGTGGTCATTCAAAAATAAGTTAAGTACAATAAGCATTATTTGAACAAAAAATAATAATAATTCACAATCATTCTAATAAATTACAATGACAATTAGTCTGTAATAATTATTTATTTCATTCAAGAATATAGAGTGTTATTTATCAAAAAAAAAGAATTATTAAATTAGATATTTGTCGTGTATATTGTCAGTATAAAAATAAAGAATTATTAAATAAATAGAAATTAAATATTAATTCATATACTTAGATAATTAGTAGTTTGTAACAACAAAATAAATAACTTAATTAACAAATATTGAATCAATAAGAATGATAAATATTATAAAAACAATTAATAATATAAAAATAATACTTCTTAGTGTATTTTTGATAAGGTATTAGAAAATGGAAAATCTATACAACCGTATTATAGAAATAAAATTGATGATGGAAGTTTAATACATCTTTTTAAAAATAGAAATTTGTTTATTTAAATTTATTTCAAAAAAATAGAAACTTTAAAATAGAAGAAATGAAATTTGTAAATTTGTTTTTCTTACTTGAAAACATATCCAGCCTCCTTAAGAACGTCAAAGATCTTATCACGATGTTCTACTCCATAACACTCCATTTGGACATCGCATAAACATATTCCAATAGCAGAAGTTGCTGGTCTTCTTGTTGCAACACCAACAACAGTTGCTTTTTCTTCAGTAATATGAGCAAGAAGATCCTTAATAGCACCTGGAACATCTGCAATTTCAACAGTGAATTCAACTTTTCTTCCTGCTTTAACAAGACCTCTTTCAATAACTTTATTAATAACATTAACATCAAGATTTCCTCCTGAAACAATACATACAACATTTGTATTTTCAGTAAGTCCTTTAATCTTTCCAGACAATAATGCAGCTACTGGAGTAGCTCCAGATCCTTCACTTACTATTTTACATCTTTCTAACATCAATAACATAGCTTGTGCAATACTTTCTTCATCAACAGTAACAATTTCATCAACATACTTTAATAAAACTGGTGCTGTTTTATCACCAGGAGCTTTAACAGCAATACCATCAGCCATAGTTTTTGCTGTCTTAACACAACAAATCTTGTGTTCTGCTTTAGAAACTGCCATTGATGGACATTCAGCTGCTTGAACACCAATAACTCTAATTTCT